CTTCGAAAATTACAAGTTTACAAAACCCTTACAAAAATTTCATTTAAGTGTGGTTATCAATTTGGTTATAGTTATTATTAACCTCTCTTACCCTAAAGCACAATCTCTCCCTCTTCGTAGGAACAGATTGCACTAAAGAGTCTTCTTGGTTTCATTACAGCTGTTGTTTAAAATTAAAGAATAACAAGAAAATAACGGGTTGTTCGTAAAGTAATTTCGTTTTTCCGATAGAGGATTTAATTGTATTTTTTCGAACCCAACTTCACACTTAAGCAGCATTATCATTATATGTTTTGAGAGCTGATATAGCAAGGCTTGTGTGTGAAAAAGTTAAATTAATTCTATGCAGTAGTTTTTGGGTGGTGCCCTTTTAAATATGGAGAGCTTGGCCAAAGAATACCTAAAGAGGCCTTTTCATTTCAATTCTAACCTTCAGTAAGGATAGGTTCGAAAAGGGACGAAATATGTTGCACCTCCAAAACCCGTTCTACTGTCTCCCCTACATTTTTTGTGGGGGTGCGTGTGTGTAACCCGAAACTAATCGACTAACCACTGTCGCAGAAGGGGGATTGCAACCTGCGGGGGTCAACTAGCTTTCAAAAGATATCAGAAGAAACTCACTCTTCATCTTATATTATGCTTTTTCTCTTTCTAAGAAAAACTTAAAAAATATTTTTTTTAACTCTAAAACGACTTTATTTATTTTCAAAATAGTTTTATCATTTTATTTAACATGCACTTTTTCTAATTATATCTTGAATTGTTTATTATTTTGATTTGATTATTTAGAGAACTAATAATAACCAGAGTATTTAAATTTATAAAATTTTACTATGTAGTCATATGAAAGTAATTCATATAAAGTAACTACATTAAAAATAAATTTATATTTTCTCTATAGATCAAATAAAGTTTGTTAATTTTTTTAAAATTGATTTGCTAATTTTTAAAACTTTTTATGTTAAAGTAAAACCTTGAGTTCAAGATTTTATTTTTTTATTACGTATTTAATTTTCTTCTTTCAATTACAATTCAAATACAAATATTTTTCACAATCTTTTTTTAATTTTAATTAATTTTTTTT